ATAGATTATGATAAGACTTTTTTCGAGCAGTCAGAGAAAATTTACAAGAAGTTGATTCCTGAATTAAAGAAGTTGATGAGTGGGCATTTTAATCTGTCAGTCATTCAATTGGCAATCAATACACAAGCATAAAAAAGACAGAAATCGAAAGTAACAATCGGGCTAATTAGATAGAAATGACTGACATATACACATAAATGCCCATTTATCTGAAGTGAGTATCATTTTATTTAATATATTTCTTTTTTATTTTGAATGATTTAACAACTAATCTTTATACGATTGACAGAAAAGAAATAGGAGAATTAAGGCAGTCATAAAATTATATGAACAAAATGATGATTATATACAAGAATTTGATAAAGATGAACTTTTACCTATCCTAGCTCAGAACGGATATCATTCTATTGAGCAATCTAATTCAGAAGATTTATCGCGTCAAAAATTGCTAGGTAACAAATAATTTCTCTATATATATGATCATCCATAGCATTCAGAAAAGATAATAAGCAAATTATTATTATTTACATTTCATAACATTTATTCAGTCATCTTTTATCTTTATTTTTAATAATTAAAACACCTATTACGTAATGTGTTAGATCCCATTGTGAAGCAAATTCAACATGCAAAAAAGCAACAGGAATGAATTTATGATGATGATATTTATTTTATATATAGTAATTCCCAAAACACACCCGAATGGGCATATGATATGAAAAAAATTAAATACAAAAAAATGTCAAAATACGAAGTCAATAACGACTATGATAAGGAGATTCAATATGATGACACGAATTTAATGGATCCAAATTTAGATTTCATACTAAATTCATCAGAGATGAATTTGATTTAACCTGAAGATTTAGACAAAACTGGCGAATGCTCGTAATCAGTAAATTGAATTGGTTTTTATTATTTTTATCACAAACTAAATATTTATATTATATTGGTAACAAAAAACCAAAAAGAAAAAGAGTCAAAAAGGCAAAAAAAAAGATGAGAAATATCATGAGTAGAACTCCTATAACAAACTTCTACTCTTCAATCCGCATTCCAATCATTACACTATCGCAAGTTTCAAGTCAAATATCATACTAATTATATACATTATTTTCTCATATATTTATTTTTAATTTTATATTTGGTTTACATTTTTTTTAGTCAGTTAGTTTTATATTG